GTGAGGTTGGCCCAGGATCGAACATTGTTTCGTTCTGCTGTGCATGGAGTCGCTATGAGTCGGTTCCGACTCGATGGCACCTGACAACAACAACAACAGTTCCAGGGAAGGTGAGAGAAGGATCACAACCTTTCCAAGAAGGTGAGGTCTCACCTTCACATTCCTTATCCTCTATCTGGATTCCACACCCAAATACAACAATGTTCACTATCATTACATTTCCATATACCTTCAAGGGGAAGAAGAGCATCTGGATCAAATTGATTAAACCCAGGGCGGTCTGAGGGAGTTGCCACCATTGTCCTTTAATCCAATATTCCCAGAATTTACCACTCCACATCAAGTGAATACCCCAGGCAGTTCCTCTCCAGAAACTCCCTGCTTAATCCCAGTAAACCTGTCCTTGCTCGTCCTCTGAGGAAGTTTTACTGCCTTGGTTCTATGGGGGAAATTCGGTTTTATTCATGTACATGGATAATCAAGAGCTCATGTTCTAAGTTAATATTAAACATAATCAAATAAGGAGCAGTTCTGACACTCATCCCAGGTGGCTATCGCTTGTACCTCAGAAAGATTCGTTCCCAGGACCCTATGCACTGCCAACACAGTGGAGACATTAAGAGAGGCATTATAAAGACCATTTTCTCAGAAGCTACAATTACTGGAGTTAGATGCATAGAATGAACATACAGAGCTGGCCCAACAGTGAGTTCGTAAAAGCCAATGAACCCGGGACCTCCGGAGGTTACTTCCTTGAGCCCTCAGGGTCCCTGGCTAGCAAGCCTGAGAGCAGCCATCGTGTTGGATTTTCGTCCATGACACCGATCCTCAGCATCTCAGTACTTGCGGTCCTCAACACCTACCATTGTTGTTGTTGTTGTTAAGTGCCGTCAAGTTGATTCCGACCCATAGCAACCCTGTATAGGATTTCCAAGGAGCAGCTGGTGAGTTTGCAGTTCAAACGACTTTGCAGTCTGATGCATTAGCCCACAGCACCACACCAGGATTCCAACCATTGGGGGATTTAATTTTAATAATAATTTTATACATTTAACCATCAAGGTGGGGGTGTTCATCCCATGGGATTAGAAAAAAGAGGAATTCCTGAGGTATAGTGGGGTGCTGTGGGCAAGCATTTGCACTAGAACATGAAGGATTTCCTGGGATTGCCTCTAAGCAAATGGTAATAGCATATAGAGAATAAGGTAAGAGTGTTTCCACAGATGGTAAGAAACAGTATCAGAGTTCCTTGTTTACTGAGGATTTACAATTTACATCACACTCCCACATTCTTTAACTCCTTCAGTGTCCTAACAGCTCTGTAAAGTAATTTTCCCAAGCTAAGAGATGAGATATATTTTAATATAGAGACACAGCCAGGAAATGGAAACCCAAGACTGGAATCCACTCTGATTCTTCTCTGGGCTCCTTCCTTTATAAACGGCAGCCACAAACTGTGACCTATGGGCCAACTCTCTATGAAATTTTGTTTGTGTTTGTCTAGGTCTCATTTCAGTGGCCTGTTGAGTAGTTGCAACAGACTGTCGACTCTCAAAGCCTACAATTTTAGTCCTTTAACCGTTGTTGTCAGGTGGATTCTGACTCATGAAACCCCCTGGGTGATGTAAAAGGTTCCATGGGCTGTATTGTTAA